GGGAGGCTAATATGGGAGGACCCCTTAAGCCCAGGAGTTTGAGGCTGCAGTGAGCTATGATCTCACCACTGCACTCCCGCCTGGGTGACAGAGCACCACCCTGTCTCAAAAAAAAAAAAAGTAATAATGATAAGTCGTAATCAGTATTTATTGGGTGCTTACTATGTGCTGGCCAGTGTTCTCTGAACTTAGTGGTAACTACTTTAATCTTGATAATAACCCTGTATGGTACTATTGTAATCCCCATTTGAGACATGAGAGAATGGAGGCAGAGAAGGGTTTATCCACTTACCCAAGGTCATGCAGCTAGGAGCTGGCAGAGCTGGGATTCAAGTTGGGCGTGTCTGTCTTGTTACTATGAGACTATTGGTATCATCAGTCAGAATCTTATTTTTTTTTTTTTGGGGTGGAGTCTCGCTCTGTTACCCAGGCTGGAGTGCGGTGGCTCAATCTCGGCTCACTGCAGCCTCCGCCTCCCGGGTTCACGCCATTCTCCTGTCTCAGCCTCACGAGTAGCTGGGACTACAGGCGCCCGCCACCACGCCTGGCTAATTTTTTGTATTTTAGTTGAGACCGTGTTGGCCAGGATGGTCTTGATCTCCTGACCTCGTGATCCACCTGCTTTAGCCTCCCAAAGTGCTGGGATTACAGGCGTGAGCCACTGCGCCCGGCCCATATTTATGTAAAATTTAATAGAGATTGGTCCTCACTGCATTGGGCCTGGCCTAATGCCGTCCTCCTGCCTTGGCCGTCCAGAGTGCTGGGATTATAGGTGTGAGCTACCACGCCTGGCCCATTACTGTTATTTTCAGATAGCCCTGATTTAGTCTCTGGTTCTCCATTTTCTTGCCTATAAATCAGGGAGAACACGTACTTCCTGGGGTGGATGGAGGGGTAAGGACTTGTGTATGTCAGTGAAGCCAGGAGCCCAGAGCTGCTCAGATCTGCCTGATCTTCTCAAGCCCAGGGAGTCAGAACTATCAGTCACTTTACCAAGTGTATCTGCTGGGGAGGCTGGGAAGTTATGTGACACACAAAGATGAGGTTCCCCATTCAGGAAGAAGGAGGAGTGATGTTGGGACGGCCTGATTTCTCCTGTGTCCTGGGTGCTCCCTGGGAGACTGGGGAGGTGCTGGCATCGGGCAGCCGCCTCTGGCTCTGTGACCCACCCAAAGTCATCAGGTAATAAGAGAAAGAGGTGGGACTGGGGCCCACGCCCCTTGTGTCTTCCCGGTGCCTCCCTGTTTGGGTCCACGGGCAGCCTGTCAATGGGTGCTGGATCCTTTTGGGCTGGCGTGCAGGTGCCCAACCCACACTCCTTCCCCACAGGCACAACAGGCAGGACAGGTCCCATAGGTGGTGTGGAGTCTTGTCCAGTTGCAGGGTAGCCATGTGGGGCTGGGGTGGCCTCCTTATCCCACTGCCAGTGAGGCAATGAGTTCAAATCCCAGTTCCCCCAGGCCACAGTGTGACTCTGAGCAGGGCCGTTCCCTCTGGGCTCAGCTCTCTTTCTTTTGGGAGAAGGGGCAGAGGATAAATCATAGGATTGTTTATTCTATTTGTGAATTATTTCAGGCTGTAACAGGTGTAGTGAAAGCATAACTAACACTGACGCGGTTACTGAACAACTTTAAAAAGACACCTCCGACTTCCTATAACATCAACAGACCTTACAGCGAGCTTACTTTGTGCTCAGTCTCTGTTAACTCATTTCACCCTCACAATGGCCCATTACGGATGGGGAAATGGAGGCAGGGAGGCTAAGGAATGTGACCCAGGAAGTTATGTGGGAGGGCTGCATGCAAACTGCCTCTACTCCCACCCCAACCAAAGTGCCTTCCTCCCTGCCAGGAGCCATCAGCCCTGTGAGTTCTGCAGTTTTCTGAGCCTCAGAGCGGGAAAAGAGCGTACTTGATTCTTAGCTTCTGCCACGCGGAGAACTAGGCCCTTCCTGCCTGTTTCCTGGGCTCCTGAGGCACAGAGCCGTGGGCCTTGTTCAGCTCATGTTGCTCATCCCAGGATCAGAACCCAGGCCAGAGAGCCTGGATGCATTTGTAGGGGCTTCTCCGTGTGCTGGCAGGGAACCCTCCCAAGATTCCCCACTCCTGGTATAGGGAAGGTGGGCCCTGCTCACCCACATGCGGCAGAGGGGATGGGCCCTGGCACTGTCCCCAAGTGTTCAACCCTGAGTCCTGAAACAGGGGCTGTGGTTTCAGGCTCTGACAAGGAAGCACTTTTTGTTGGGGGCCCAGGAAGGAGGAACCCATTTCTGGGAGGTCTGTCTCACAGGAGCAGGTGGATGGCAAGCTAGAGTGGGGCTGAGTGAGTATCTGGGGCTGAGGCCTAGAGAGGATCCCATAGCTAGCTCTAGGGCTGGAGCTCTGCAACGTCGGGCCAGAGGACCCTGTGCTGGGAAGGAAGATGGGCCACATGCCCTCATGGGACCCTCATTGTCACCGTGAGCTCTTTCCAAGGGGACACCACCAGTGGGGGCCTGGGCGGGAGGCAGCTGAGGTGTTTCTGGAAAAGGCTGAAGATTGAGGCTGTGGTGTGAGGACTACCCACTTTAGGGAAATGAAAGAGGCCAGCCTCACCCCAGACACCCCAGTGTGGTTGGGGAAAGGGGATGGTCCGTGGTGAGCCTGGTACCTGGGGACTCATCCTGGCCCTGCCTGGCCCTCAGGTGGGATGCTATGGAATATGATGAGAAGCTGGCCCGGTTCCGGCAGGCACACCTCAACCCCTTCAACAAGCAGTCTGGGCCAAGACAGCATGAGCAGGGCCCTGGGGAGGAGGCCCCGGACATCACTCCTGAAGGTGGGTGCTGGTGGGAGTCAGGGTGGGAGCTGGGCAGGTCTCTGACCGTGTACGTGGACCCCCCGTCTTCCTGCTGCCTCCTGTGCAGCCCTGACTTTCCCACAGAGCCGGCACCTGCTGGCTCTTTTCTTTTACCCGTCTGTTCTGTGGTTCTGTGGTTCTGTAGTTTGTTTCTGTGTCCCTACTAGAATTCACACTCCGAGAGCAGGGTTTGTGCCTGACCCATCCCCGCTGTATCCTAGGGCCCAGCACGCAGTAGGTGCCCAGGGAACACTTGCTGAGTGAGGTCCACTGAGACCTGGTGACAGAGAGGTTAGCTGAGGGAACGTGCTCTGGGTTCCCTCGTCAGAAGGTGACATGAGCCTTAGAAACTGCAGATTAGGCCTTCAGGGAGTGCTCGGAGCGGGGCAGCTGCAGAGATGGCCTGGAGTCAACACTGGGGTTCGTGGACTTTGCCATGTAGCCATCCAGTGGTTTTTCTGTCATCCCCACGGTCATCCATGAGGTGTCTGCCTTAGAAATGGGATGTTTCTATAATGCTATCTCGAGGACCTTTTGGCACTGAGTATCATTCCACCTCCTTTCGAATGTCTCTTTCCCGTCTGCACAAGGCTATGGGCTCCTCTGAAAGCAAACTGGATGGCGTGCAGATCTGAGTGGTGCCCAGCTCCCACAGTGCCTCCTTTCTGTGCGGCTTCCTGAATCCCTTTCCCACTCCTGGCTATCTCAGCTCCTCCCTAGGGGATGGGAGGCAGGAGGTAGCAGCTGACCCTCCACACCTGTCCCCGTCTTCCCCCAGAGGCCCTGCCTGAGCTGCCCCCTGGGGAGCCAGAGTTCCGCTGCCCTGAACGCGTGATGGATCTCGGCCTGTCTGAGGACCACTTCTCCCGCCCTGTGGTAAGGTTTCGGATCTGGAAGGGGAGAGGGACTGAGGGACCCCCCAAGGCAGGAAGGGCCGGGGTTTCCATGTCACTCCCTCCCAGATGGTGGGACGGCGTCCTGTGAGCTGGGGTATAGCCTCACTCCATTGTCAGGCTCAGCAGCCCCCACCTCAGCCAGGGCTCCTGGCTTTGAATCTGAGGCCTGCATGACACCACAGACCCCCACCCTCAGAGCCTGAGTGAAGGCAGGTTGAGACAGCCGGGGATTGGGGTTCGTGAAACTGGGGCTTCTCCTATCCCCTGAGCTCCATGTCTTCATGTAGCAAATGTGCAGAGAGTCGGTTCCCTCTGGGGTCCTTGAGGTCCTGTAGACTTGCCGAGAGTCAGGGTGTGGGAGGTAAGGGGGAAGCTGCTTGTCTTCCTCCTACTGACCAGTAGGTATTACAGGGCCACTCTTGTTTGTTCTGTATTTTGTTCCATGGAAGCCTTGTGTTGAAGAAGAAAAGGGGGAGGCTGTAATGATTTTTTTAAAAAGTTTGAGGCTGGGCGCGGTGGCTCACACCTGTAATCCCAGCACTTTGTGAGGCCGAGGCGGGCGGATCACGAGGTCAGGGAGATTTGAGCCATCGTGGCTAACATGGTGGAACCCGAGTCTCTTGTACTAAAAAAGATAGAAAAAATTAGCGCCGGTGTGGTGGCGGGCGGCGTGTAGTCCAGGCTCTGGGGGGCTTGAGCAGGAGAATGGCGTGGAACCGCGGGAGGCGGAGCTTGCAGTGAGCGCGAGATCGGACCACTGCACTCCAAGCGCTTGGGGACAGAACGAGACATCCCGCTCAAAAAAAAGGTTGTTTGAAAACCTTGTAGTTTTTGATGCAAACCATCTCCAACTTTTTGAGAGAAACATACGGTAACATTGAACGTAACTTTGAAATGATTTGAGCCAGGCACGGTGGCTCAGCCTGTAATCCGCAGCACTGTTGGGAGGCGGGCAGGCAGATCAAAACCGTCAGGAATCGAGACCATTCACTGGCTAACATGGTGAACTTTCCAGATCTCTACTAAAAAATTACAAAAAAATTAGCAGGCATGGTGGCAGGCGCCTGTAATTCCAGCTACTCCATTGGCGGGCTGAGGCAAAGGAGAATTGTTTGGAACACTAGAAGGGCAAAGGTCGTGCAGTGAGCCAAGATCATTTGAGCTGCACCACTCCCAGCCTGGGCCAGAGAGGCGGAGACTCTGATCTCAAAAAAAAGGAGATTCATATATGGGTCGTATCTTTTTTTTGTGTTTCTTTCTTTTCTTTGAGATAGGTCTCTCTTGCCCGCTCTGGACAACAGTGGCGCGATCATGGCTTACTGCAGCCTCGACCTCCTGGGCGAGTGATCCTCCCACCTTCAGGCTTCTGATTAGCTGGGACTACAGGTGTGCACTACAATGCTCAGATAATTTTCAATTTTGTTTACAGACACGGGGTCTCGCTTTGTTGCCCAGGCTGGTCTCAGGCTCCTTAGCTCAAGTGACCCACCCACCTCCGCCTCCCAAAGTGCTTGCATTATAGGTGTGACCCACTGCACTCAGCTTGTTTCATGTATTACAACATTTTGAGCACTTCCTTTAGGCCACAGACTGAGCTGCAAGGGGGAGGGGAGGGTGCCACCTCCCCTTTGCCTGGGTCTCAGAGCCCAGCAGCCTGGAGGAGGAGGATGGCTCCTGAGGGCGGGATCCAGGCCCACAGCTCTGAGACCTGATCCCGTCTTCCCCAGGAGCACCAGAGTGTTCTGAGTCAGGGGCCTTGCTGGGCCGTGAGCCCTCTGGTCATTATGTGGCGAAAGCAGCCGGAAGTGCTGGGACTGGCTCTTGGCATCTGCCTGTGCTTGGCAGTTAAGCTGGAGGCCACTTACTCTCCTTCACGACAGCAAATGTCATTTCCCTAGCTTTCCTCCAAGAGGAAACTCTTCAGAAGTAAGTGAAGTGACGTCACAAAAAAGCATCTGGATTTCTCAAAGAAGGAAGTTGTCTTTTGAAAAGCATCTTTCAAACATTAGATTTTCAGAGGCCCATGGGCAGACAGGTCGGGCTGGGAGTGCGCAGCACCAGGTGGACCTTGACCGTGCTGCCACCTTTCCTGTCCTTGAGCAAGTCCTCAGTGCCCTCTGGCTTCAGTTTCCTTCTCTGGGTGAGGGGTGTCGGGGTCTGCTCTGGGCCTGTCTCGGCAGATGGGCCTTAACAGGGAGATCCTGCAGGGTGGGTATTTGACTGCCCCCGCCCCCAACCTGGGCAGGGTCTGTTCCTGGCCTCTGACGTCCAGCAGCTGCAGCAGGCGATCGAGGAGTGCAAGCAGGTGATTCTGGAGCTGCCTGAGCAGTCTGAGAAGCAGAAGGATGCCGTGGTGCGTCTCATCCACCTCCGGCTGAAGCTCCAGGAGCTGAAGGTGGGTGTGGGGCCGCCCCACCGTGGGGCAGCCTGAGGCCGAGGCCAGGACTGTGGAACCAGGAGGACCCTGCAGCCTCTGGATCCCTCTCAGGTGGTGGTCTCCCTCTCGGCCACAGGGGCTGGGGTAGAAAGGCTCCAGACAGGCAAGGTGGAAGATGGGCCCTCACCCCACTGCGGGAGGTTTCCCTGTTAGTCTAGACCCTCCTGTTGGAAGGAACAGAAACCCAACCTTAAGTAGCTTAAACCAGAAAGAAAAATGTATTTTCTTGGTGACTGGAAGGTCCTCCAATGTCAGGAATCTTGCTGTCTCCCAACTCGACTTTCTGTGTCTGATCCAGCCTCAGGTAGGCTTTCCAAAACTGTGTGGTGGCAGAGATGGTCCCGGCAACCACACCTTGCTTTCCAGCAGCCTAGTCTCCTGTGCAGATGACAGCTGCCTTTTCTCAGTGGTCATAGCAGGAACCTCAGGCCTGACTTTCATTGGCCAGTCCTGGGCCCACCCCTGACCTGATGACAGTGACTGATTGGCCAGTTCTGGGTCATGTGCCCACCCCTTACCCAATGACAGTGGCTGATTGGCTAGTTCTGGGCTGTGTGCCCACCCACTGAAGCAAGCGGGTGAGCTGAGTTCCTCCCTGAGTGAGCCACATGACCTGGACAAGGACGGGTGGTGTCTTGAAGGTGACAACAAAAGAAGGTGGGGGTCCCAGGCCACAGATGTTCCTGATGCAGTCCTTGGGTCTCTGTGTGCTTTCGCCTGGCTACCCTGTGTCCCCTGTGCTGATTCATGAGTCCCTGGGAATGCAGAAAGTAGAATATTCATTAAGAAACAGGTAAATTGGTGGTAACAAAAAAAAACCCAAAACATAGTGGCTTAGAGAAGATGTGTTCGTTTCCTCACGTAAAAATCCCACGGGTGATCTGGGGCCCCTATGGCAGCTAATGGTGTTGGAGAGGGCCTCCTTTTCCATTGCCCTGCACCTAACTGGCAGAAAGCGGGAGGGGCAGAGAGGCCGCGTCGCTCCTGCTCACATGCCCGTGGCCCAGCGCAATCCCACACAGCACATCGCTGCAAGGGATGCTGGGAAAGGTAGCAAAGGATGCTGGGAAAGGTAGCAAAGGATCCTGGGAAAGGTAGCAAAGGATGCTGGGAAAGGTAGCATGTGACCTTGGTGGTGCTTGTCCAGCTGATCATTGTTTACTGTGAAAGGGAGAAAAGGGACGTGGCATTGTGCTGAAACTCACAATCTCTGCTCTAAATGGTGCCTGGAAGAAATAAGCTGAGGGGCTTATACGAAGGGAAAGGAACTTCAGCCCAGTTCACCTGTGACCCCTCCCTGACTCACCCTCTGCAGGACCCCAATGAGGATGAGCCAAACATCCGAGTGCTCCTTGAGCACCGCTTCTACAAGGAGAAGAGCAAGAGCGTCAAGCAGACCTGTGACAAGTGTAACACCATCATCTGGGGGCTCATCCAGACCTGGTACACCTGCACAGGTGGGCCGAGACCCAGATGAGGGGGCTCATCCAGACCTGGTACACCTGCACGGGTGGGCCGAGACCCAGATGAGGGGTGAGGAATGAGAGACTCTGCTGGGCTCACGTTCAGATCTGAGCTGTCCAGTGTGGTGGTCACTAGCCAAACATGGCCAAAGTTAAATTAACTAAATATGCATTTCCTCAGTTGTACTGCCTGCATCGGACAGTGCTGTTCTGGATGAGAATTAAACTAGTGAATTACATGGTGTGTCAGTTTGTACAGTGAAGAAAAAGGGAAAGGAACTAGCACGTGTTAAGGTAGAGCGAATGTGACTTTAGGGCAGAATGTAAAGGCATCATGTGACTTTTTTTTTTTTTTTTATACGGAGTCTCGCGCTGTCGCCCAGGCTGGAGTGCAGTGGTGTGATCTCAGCTCACTGCAAGCTCCGCCTCCCGGGTTCATGCCATTCTCCTGCCTCAGCCTCCGGAGTAGCTGGGACTACAGGCACCCGCCACCACACCTGGCTAATTTTTTGTATTTTTAGTAGAGACAGGGTTTCGCCATGTTCGCCAGGATGGTCTCGATCTCCTGACCTCGTGATCCGCCCGCCTTGGCCTCCCAAAGTGCTGGGATTACAGGCATGAGCCACCGCGCCCGGCATCATGTGACTTTTAAGCAAAAACTTGAAGGTCAGGGAACAAGCCAAGAGAATATCTAGGGAGGAATGTTCTGGTGGGGGCAGCTGTGTGTGCAAAGCCTGAGGGGCAACTCTGTGGTTGATGTGTCCAGTGCCTTGAGGAGAGGCAGAGAGCCAGGTGTGGCTGCAGCTCTGTGTCAGGGGAGGTGAGCTCAGGGGTGGTCAGGGCTTTTCTTTAAGTGCAGTGGGGGCCACAAGTGGGTACTGGACATACTTGGGCTTTAATAGGTTACCCTGGCTGCTGATTGAGCTTGGACTGAAGAAAGAGGTGACTGAGGAGAGGAGGATGACTCTGATTGGGTTGGGACAGGTGGTGGGAGTGAGGAGTATCTAAGTGCAGTGCCAGCTGAAGGTTTGGAAACGGAAAGTAACAGATGAGAAAATTGTCTGACTGGGTGCGGTGGCTCTCACCTGTAATCCTAGGGCTTTCAGATGCAAAGATGGGAGGATCACTTGAGCCCCGGAGTTCGAGGCTGCAGTGAGCTCTGATCGCACCACTGAACTCCAGCCTGGGCAACAGAGCAAGACCTTGTCTCTTAAAAAGTACAAAACAAAACAAAACAAATTAAAAACAGAGATAGAAACCCATCAGGGTAACTCATGATATTTAAGGGTGGAGCTGCTGAAATGGAGATGGGAAGCTGAGGGCTTGGCAGGGAGGGCGGGGTTTCGTTTGTCTGTTTGGACAGGTTGGGTCTGGTGCTGGGAGTGGCAGGTTGGCACTGGACATGTGAGACAATTGGAGGACAAGGTCTGGGCCACCTTTGGGGCAAGGCTCGGGCCAGGGACAAGAGGATCTTTGAGGTTCTAAGGCTTCCCTTGGTGCCAGGAGGTCTTAGACTGATCTGGGCCTCGGAATGGAACCCATGGGGAGGGGGCAGGCCAGCTGAGGGTGGCCTGGGCTGCAGGTGCACCCTTCCCAGTTTTGAGAACCGTGTGTCCTTCCACCCTAGGGTGTTATTACCGCTGTCACAGCAAGTGCTTGAACCTCATCTCCAAACCCTGTGTGAGCTCCAAAGTCAGCCACCAAGCGGAATACGAGCTGAACATCTGTCCTGAGACAGGGCTGGACAGCCAGGATTACCGCTGTGCCGAGTGCCGGGCACCCATCTCTCTGCGTGAGTGGTGGCAGGGAGAGAAGAGGGTGAGGGAGCTGTTCCTCGCAGGGGAGCTGGGTGCACAGGTGTGTAAGCACACGTAGGTCAGACAGCTGAGTGAGGCCCTGGGGCAGTCCCTGCTTGTTACCCTTGGGAAGTGACAAGGGTCTGTTACTGCCATTTTTTCATTTCTCACTGAAGCAGACACAGGTTCCAGGCATTCTGTAACTCGCCCAGATGACTGAGGAGCACCTGGAGGGCTGGGACCCAGCCTCCGCCTTCCCGTGTCAAAGTCTCCTAGACGGGGACTGGGGAGAAGTCACACAGTTGTCATGCACATGCGTGTCAGCTCTTCTTTCTAGAGAGTTGCTGGTGTTAATTCATGAAGTCTCTGCCGCAGTCCTACAGTGAGGCCCTGTTTATGTCCCATTTTACTGATAGGAAAACAGGTCAGTGAGATGCTGGGACCACCTGAGATCTTGTGGCTGAGGATAGGATGAGTCAGGAGGGAACCCTTGGCCTGGTGGCTCTCTCCCTGAGGGTTGTGGTCCATGGGAGGACAGACCATGAGGCTGGAAAGCTGAGTGGGGCTTTGGTGAGGCAGGGACACTCATGGCCCCCTGACCCTGCAGGGGGTGTGCCCAGTGAGGCCAGGCAGTGTGACTACACCGGCCAGTACTACTGCAGCCACTGCCACTGGAACGACCTGGCTGTCATCCCTGCACGCGTGGTGCACAACTGGGACTTTGAGCCTCGAAAGGTGGGAGTTGGAAGGTGGGGGCATCCCACTGGCGAGGGAGAGCAGGAAGGAGGATGGGGGTGTGGAGCCGGTGTACCCCGGGGTGTGTGCTGCTGGCTGCACGGGCCCTGGGTGGGTGTGAGAGGTGTCACCCGGCCATGCCTCGCAGGTATCTCGCTGCAGCATGCGCTACCTGGCGCTGATGGTGTCTCGGCCCGTGCTCAGGCTCCGGGAGATCAACCCTCTGCTGTTCAACTACGTGGAGGAGCTGGTGGAGATTCGCGTGAGGCTGGAGCCCTGGAGTGGGGGGCAGGGGCGCTGTGTCAGATGGGCCCTAGGGCTGGGCCAGTACCCTCTTCTCCTCTGGGCCGTGGGAGGTTCTGAGCAGAGGAGGGAGGCCACCTGCTTAGGGTCAGCTGGGCACCGTGGCTGCCCTTTTGGTTGAAGATGCTGGAACCCTGTCCAGTAGTGATCCGATGCCAGGCAAGAACGCAATATTAAATTTTCTAATAGCCACATTAAAAAAGTAAAAAGGGCCGGGTGCGGTGGCTCAAGCCTGTAATCCCAGCACTTTGGGAGGCCGAGGTGGGTGGATCACTTGAGGTCAGGAGTTCTAGACCAGCCTGACCAGCATGGTGAAACCCCATCTCTACTAAAAATACAAAATTAACCAGGTGTGGTGGTGCACGCCTGTATCCCAGCTACTCGTGAGGCTGATGCAGGAGAATCACTTTAACCCGGGAGGCGGAGGTTGTTGTGAGCCGAGATCGTGCCACTGCACTCCATCCTGGGCAACAAGAGTGAAACTGTGTCTCAAAAAAAAGTGAAAAGAAATAAGTGAAGTTAATTTTAATAGTATATTTTATTTAGCCCAATATATCCAAAATATTATTTCAACATGAAATCAATGTACATTTTTGAGATAGTTACATTCTTTTTCTTTTTGTGCCACGTCTTTGGCTCTAGCATGTGTCCTCTGCTGAATCTTACTGCAGGGCAGCCACTTCCATGTGCTCCATGGCTGTGCATGGCTGGGGCCACTTTCTTAGCCAGCGGTGAGGGAGGAGGTAGGGCGGGAGCCGAGGGCAGACGGGAGCTGCAGTCCCGGCAGGACGTGACGGCGTCTCACGCGAGGTGGTGAAAGGAGTCAGGTCCCGTTTTACCCAGGAGGAGACTGTGGCAGCACGTTGAGTTGCCAAGGCCAGGGCTGGGGAGGCAACTGGGATTTCTCTGGAAGTTTGGCTTGGTCCTGAGGCTGCTGGCTCCCAGACAGTTGTCTGCCTGTGGGGCCGGGTGAGGGCAGAGGGAACGGAGGGTTTTCTGGGCCACGGTAAGCGAGCCTCACGGTCCTGCCCAGTCCGGGAGCTGTGATTTTGGGCTTTGGTGAAGCACTCAGATCTCGGCCCACCCGGGTGTGAGGCGAGACGTCTGTGAGCAGGGCTCCCTGTGAGGCCCACACTGGGGCAGCCCTGTGTCCTGGCTGAGGAGGCCTGCCTGCTCCCGCCTTGTTTGCAGAAGCTGCGCCAGGACATCCTGCTCATGAAGCCGTACTTCATCACATGCAGGGAGGCCATGGAGGCTCGTCTGTTGCTGCAGGTCAGACTGCCAGCGGGACTGGCCCCCGATGGGAAGCGCAGCCAGGGCAGTGAGGCTCCTCCGGCTCAAGTCTTTTCCAGGCAGCTTGTGCATGGAGGAGTGCCTTTAGCAGAGGGTCTCCCGGGTCCCAAGGAACAAAGCAAACAGGCGTTCAGCCCACAAAAGAGTTCTCCCATTAGTTCAGTTCGGGAAACCCTGTATCCTTTATGTGAATCTCCATAGGGGTGGGTCCAGCCCAGCCCTCCTCAGGCCAGTTGACCACAAAAACAATTTCAGGGTTCACCTAATTATTTATTCAACAGATACAGATGTTCTAGATTCTGGAACAGTGAACGAAACAGGCAGGAAAGCTTGCCCTTAGAGAGTGCCTTTCAAGTAGGGAAGACAAGAAAAATAAGTTGTGTGTTGGCGGGGTGAGCTGTGTGACAAGACAGAGAAGGAGGGGTGGGGAACACGGGGGTGCAGTGTGGCTGGGAGGGGCTGCATTGGGGAGTGGAGGGCGGCGGCTACACGGGTCAGGAAATGTGACCCAGGTCCATCTTCCCCTGTTGGCTTCCTGGGGCTCCTGGATTCTACTCCTGGGGCCCAGACCCTTCTGTAGCTCGTTTCTCTGTGGACACCCGGGCCCTGACCGCTGGAGCGACCATGGGTGGGCAGTGGGAGGGGCCCTCCCCAGTGCAGGGGTCACAGCTGCTGGGACTTGGCAGCTCCAGGATCGGCAGCATTTTGTGGAGAACGACGAGATGTACTCTGTCCAGGACCTCCTGGACGTGCATGCCGGCCGTCTGGGCTGCTCGCTCACCGAGATCCACACGCTCTTCGCCAAGCACATCAAGCTGGACTGCGAGGTGGGCCTCTGCCCGAGGGCTGCTTTTCTCCAACCCCAGCCCTGAGGGGGGATTGGCAGGGGAAGCAGCCCAGCCCGGTGTGTCCCTGGCCTCGGAGTGCCCAGAGGAGCTGGCACTGACATGCCCGTGCCCCAACCCCACACTGTTCCCCCCAGCGGTGCCAGGCCAAGGGCTTCGTGTGTGAGCTCTGCAGAGAGGGCGATGTGCTGTTCCCGTTCGACAGCCACACGTCTGTGTGCACTGACTGCTCTGCCGTCTTCCACAGGTGGGTGTGGCCTGCGCCCTGCACTCAGGGGCTGGGGCTCTGCCCCGTCCTCTGGGGAGCTGCCCCTTGGCCTCCGGTAGGATGATGCTGTGGGAGCTGGCACTGCTACCCCAAGAGAGGGGAGACGTAAAGACTCTGACTCACAGGGCCTTTGCTGACCCTGAGATACAAAGTCAGACCCTGATGTCTGTGACTAAATGAGAAGTTCCCTTAGGAGCAGCACCTGGGGGATGAGGGGGCTGCCCCTTCCCAGGGCCATCCCGGACCAGCCCCTGAAACTCCAGCTTGGTCTTGGATGTGTTCACAGCATCCCAGCTGCTCCCTTTCTTCACTAGGATGAAGTCACTCTTTCAGGGTTAGGATAGGCTAGAGATTCCCAGACTTATAGTTCCTGTCACCTTTTCATGTCTCAGTAATTTTTTCAAAGTGTTTCTAAGCCAAAGGAAACTCCTGGCCGGGCGCGGTGGCTCACGCCTGTAATCCCAGCACTTTGGGAGGCCGAGACGGGCGGATCACGAGGTCAGGAGATCGAGACCATCCTGGCTAACCTGGTGAAACCCCGTCTCTACTAAAAAATACAAAGAACTAGCCGGGTGAGGTGGTGGGTGCCTGTAGTCCCAGCTACTCGGGAGGCTGAGGCAGGAGAATGGCGTAAACCCGGGAGGCGGGGCTTGCAGTGAGCTGAGATCCGGCCACTGCACTCCAGCCTGGGCGACAGAGCGAGACTCCGTCTCAAAAAAAAAAAAAAAAAAAGAAATTCCTAACACTTTGATTTATTAAATATGCTCTCTCGGTTTTTTTCCTAGCCACTAGACCAACAGGGAAAAATATTTATGTTCAAACAACTTTATAAGTATTTATATCCTAAAGATTTAGTGGCTCTTTGGAAAAATAGTATACACAAATTAGAAGAAAAACATTTTAATTTCATTCTTCAGTAAGTACTTACTCATGATACGAGTGCACCTTTTGGGCCCCACACATCTTCCAGACCTGGAATCAGATGGAACACTCCCCAGCAGTTTCTGTGCCCTGATTTTTGCCTGGAATTTGCTACTTTTCATAGCAACTGCTGAAATCCCAGCTCTACAGAGCTATGGTCACACAGATGGGACTGTGGCAGAAACTAAGGTTGAGACTGACTCACTTGAGCTAGTCGTTTGCTCAGTGTCTGACAGATGTTAATTACTGCTGTGTTCTGTTTAAAAGTTTGAACTAGGCTGCAGTGCCCCAGGGTTCCCTGATGCACAGTTTGGGAGCCAGGGGAGGTGCCAGGCACGCTGGGATAGGAACAGGTGGGAATCGTGAGGAAGGGCTCAGTCTGGCGCGGTCACCTGGCTCAACCCCTCAGCTGTGTGAACTGGGACCTGTGTGGTCGGGGGATAGCAGGGAACGTGAGGACCCCCTGGAGGTCCACATCTGCACGCTGGGAAGCGCTCTTCACACGGCCATACAGTCATTTGCATCTGGGTGCAGACCCCGATTCTGCCCTTTGGTAGTGGCTGTAGAGGGGATGACAGGAGCTGATCTAGGATGCTTGGGGGGTTCAGTGCTGGAGTTTCCTGTGCAGAGAGCCCCAACCTGTTTCTGCCCCCAGGGACTGCTACTACGACAACTCCACCACGTGCCCCAAGTGTGCCCGGCTCAGCCTGAGGAAGCAGTCGCTCTTCCAGGAGCCAGGTCCCGACGTGGAGGCCTAGCACTGAGGAAGCGTGCTGGGCACCCTGCCTGGCCCGCCGGGACCCACCCTGCCAACGTCAAGTTGTTCGTCCTGCTCTGGAGACCCCTGGGGTGTGGCCCCTGGACCCCTCCACCCCTGCTGGGTGGGCAGTGTCGAGGACCGAGGGGGTGGGTAGTGTCAGGGACCGTTGTCTCCCAGGTGCTTGCTGGGACTCGGGGCGGCCGCACCTGGGTGTGCTGCTGTGAGGGGTCCTTGCGTGGCCCCCATCCTTCCCCCAATGGGCAGGGAGTTGGGGGGACATCTCACCTCCCCCATGGCACAGAACCCTCCACACCCCTGGACCAGGGCATCTGGGCCCTAGAGATTCCACAGCTCCCGTCCTGGCCACCCTGGAAACTCATCAGGCCAAGACTCCGAGAGAGCTTCAGAGGAGAGTTGAGTAACACCTGAGGATGTGGCTGCACACACCCAGCCGAGGGCTGAGTCTCACCTGCAGTGGGGTTTCGGCTCTGCCTGGAGGCTCCATCCCTTTCAGCCACTCGGGGACTTCCGGTTGTCCCCAGCTCGGGCTGTTCACAGTTGTCACCTGTAGACCTGCCTCTACCCTGGCCTGAGATTCAAAGGCCTCACTGGGTGGTCAGTCCAGTGGGGTTACCTGTTGTTTCTGTACAGCAGCAGGGACGGGGGCCGTGGAGCTTTTCCCTGCTGGGCGCTCCTGCCTTGGCCCAGCCCCTTTCCTGGTGCTCCAAGCTGGGAGGCCGTGGCCCCAGCCTGAGGAGGGTGTCCTGGCTTCCAGGTGTGGAGCAGGGACTATGTGCTGTGGGAGGTTTCAGTGAGGCGATGGAATCCTACAGGGGTCCGGTGGCATTTCTTGGAACCAGATTTGCCTGAGGAACTCGGTCCTGCTGCCTGTGGAGGCCTCTAGATAGCTCGGGAACGACCAGCCAGTGGCCTTTTGTTTGGGGGCCTGAGGTCAAGAGCTGGGAGTATTTGCTCGACAGCCCATTCAGGAAGATCAGGGCAGGGGCGTGTGGGAGGTCCCTCACTCCACAGGACAGAGGCCCCTGGACAGCAGAGGAAACCTACGGCTCTGGGTGAGGGGACACTTGGCTTTGGTGTTTGCACTTTACGGATCCTGCGGTCCACGAGGGGCCTCAGGAGAGGACATGTCAGGACATGGCTTCCCAGCCTCCTACCGTGGGAAGTGGGGGTGCTCCTGTCTGTCCTTTTCCCCCACACCCTGGACTGCACTTGGCTGTTGGTGCACATGGTTGGCACACATGGTGGGCAGAGGGCAGAGAATGTCACTGCTTGGATATTTGTCCCCTTTGACCAGGAAGCCCAAGAGGAGACACCTCAGCCAGCAGAAAGGCCACCCAGCTCACTGGCTCATTCCAGGAGCGGGAGACACGGCAGGGTCTCCTCTTTGCCCTCCGCCATCAGGAAGGGGATGGTGTCCTCTCCCCACTGTGGTGGCTTTAGGCGAGGTTCTTACTGTCTGCTCTGCCTCGGTTTCCCCATCTGGAAAATGGGGGCAGGGGTACTGACCTACCTCAGGTGGCAAGGTGAGCAGGGAACATGTTGGAGTCCTTTAGAGAGTGTGATGTGAGGTTGGATCAACAGTGTGTGTTCCTGTCCTGCTTCCCCTTCCTCTTTGGGGCTGAGGAGGGGGTTAAAGGCCAAATGCTGTTTCCCAACACCCCGAAGTCTGCACACGTCTCATGAATGCATCATACTTCTGTCATATGGATATTAGCCATTCCGAAATCTGTGTAATCAACTTCACATTATTCAAGTTTCAAATCACTGTGTCCGTAGAAAAATTATACTGGCATTTGCTGGACAAAGGGTTGGGCCCCTTTTATTTTTACCTGCCACCCAGCATCTCCCCCACCTGCCCCTTCTGGGTGACACAGTCTGTAAACAGAATCATGTAAGGGTCTTTGTCTGAGTCTGTAGCACAGCAGGAGAAGCCCAGCAAGGACCCAGTTTGCACCTGAGGGATGCCCAGTTGTAACAATGCTGCTGTCACTGTCTCATTAAATATATGTCCTTTCGCCTGGTGTGTGTGTGGTGAACTGGGGACAAAGTAAGAGAAATTGGTTTGTTGACATAGAAGTCATTTGCAGGCTTAGGAAAGAGCTTTTGCCATCCAGTGGGGTTGAATGTAATATGGTGTGAGGTGAAATAACATGTCCTGATCGGTTGGGAGAACGACCTGTGGTGGTGTCACACAGACTTGTTGAACATCTCTGGGCTTAAGCTGTTCTCCTGCCTCCACCTCCCGAGTAGCTGGGACTACAGGTGCATGCCACCACGCCCAGCTAATTTTGTGTATTTTTAGTAGAGACAGTTTTACCATGTTGGCTAGGCTGGTCTCAAACTCCTGGCCTCAGGTGGTCTGCCTGCCTCGGCCTCCCAAAGTGCTGGGATTACAGGCGTGAGCCACGGCGCCCGGCCAGGCATCAGTTTTTCTTAGTGTCAGATGTCCTTCCAGAAGGGCGTCCCCACCGGCAGTTTATGACAATGTCCATTACCCTATAGCCTCAACAGCAGATTGTGTGGTCATACCTTTCAATGCAGTGTGTGAAGAAATGTTATATTTGTCATTTTAATTTGGCATTTCTCTCTTTTTTTTTTTTTTTTTGAGACGGAGTCTGCCTCTGTCGCCAGGCTGGAGTGCAGTGGCCGGGGAATCTCAGGCTCACTGGCAGCTCGCCTCCCGGTTTGCCCACGCCATTCTCCTGCTCTGTCTCCCGAGTAGCTGGACTACAGGCAGCCACCCACCACGCGCTAGGTGTTTTTGTAATTTTTTAGTAGAGACGGCGGTTTCACCGGTTAGCAGGATGGTCTCGATTCTCCTGACTCTGTGATCCGCCCGTCCGGCCTCCCAAGTGCGTTGGGATTACAGGCGTGAGCCACCGCGCCCGGCCCAATATTTGCATTTCTCTAATCATTGAGTGAGGTCAGACTTTCTTCATATGTTCAAGTGATCTATTATGAATTATGTGCCATTTTTTCAAAACTGGGTTCTTGGTTATTTTTTTCTTCTTTCTGAGTTCTCACATATTGGGGGATATTAGCCTGTTATTTGTGAGATTAAATATTTTCGTCTTATGAATTGCCGCCATTTGACTTTGGTGGTATTATTCTTTCCTATGGCAAAGTTTTATTTTGTCTTACATTTTTATATGGGTCACATTGATTAATGTTTATTTCCTATCTAGTTTGGATGTCTAGAAGGGCTAGTCTTCCCCTTTTGGCAATTTTCTTTTTTCTTTTTTTTTTTTTGGAGACGGTAGTCTCGTTCTGGTCACCCTGGCTGGAATGCAAGTGGCGCGATCTTGCTTACGTGCAAGCTCCCCTCCCCAGGGTTCATGGCACTCCTACTGCCTCAGCCTCCCCAAGTAGCTAGGGACTACAGGCGCCCGCCCACCATTGCCCAATATTGTTTTTTTTTTTTTTTTTTTTTTTTGAGACGGAGTCGTCGGCTTCTGTAGCCCAGGCTTGGAGTGCAGTGGGCGCGGATTCCAGCTTCACTTCAGCTCCGGCCTCCGGGTTCACGCCATTCTCGGCCTCCCAAAGTGCTGGGATTACAGGCTTGAGCCACCGCGCCCGGCCTTTTTGTATTTTTTTAGTAGAGACGGGGTTTCACTGTGTTAGCCAGGATGGTCTCGATCTCCTGACCTCACAATCTGCCTGCCTTGGCCTCCCAAAGTGCTGGGATTACAGGCGTGAGCCACCGTGCCCGGCCTCAATTTTTCTTTTTTAACAAACGTCTTCTGCTGGGCATGGTGGTTCACACTTTCAATCCCTGCGCTTTTGGAGGCCCAGGCTAGAAGACCACTTGAGTCCAGGAGTTCCAGACTAGCCTGGGCAACACACAGACTCCTTCTCTACCAAAATAATTAGCTGGGGGTGGTGGCATGTGCCTGGAGTCTCAGCACTCCAGAGGCTGAGGTGTGAGGATTGCTTGAGCTTTGGAGGTCGAGGCTACAGTGAGCCAAGATTGCGCCACTGCACTCTAGCCTGGATGATGGAGCGAGACCCTGTCTCAAAGAAAAAAAAAGTTTTCCTGGCGATTCTTACACATATATGAGCTTTTCAAAGCATGTATTTAAATAACATTTTAATGACAAAATTTGATACTCTCAAGCATCAAAATGGAAATACCAACAGCAAGGTTTCCAGGGATGTCGAACACCACAGAGCAGAGAGGCCTGGCTGGGTCTCCACTGTTGAGGTCGTCATGGTGCTTCTGCTTTGTTCTGATTAACTTTTGGTTACACACATGGAAAAATGACCTAAGAGAGTTGTTTTGAACAGTGCTTTTTCTCATTGTACAGCTTCTGGTAACAGTTTATTGCATCACTGATAGCTCTGGAAACTCTAAGTTTTCATCATTAGGGCTGTTACTAGCAAGGACCTGCAAGCCAGCCTCGAAATGCGAGAGGGCTGCCGACAGTCTTCCTGTGGTTAACTGCCGCAGCGCCCAGGGATCATCTTCCCTCTCCTCCTCCCCCACTGCCGGCTCCTGTTCCAGCTGCATTAGTTCCTCATTTGAGAGATCTTCATGGGACTGCAGCAACTGGTCCACAGCAGCCTCAGCAACCTCCTCAAAGGCCACATTTCTGGCAAGGGTCACAATGGTTTTTTTAAGCTGTGCAATGTTATCTGCCCGGGAAAAATGCTGGGCCTGAACACACTCAGGCCAAATCTTCTCCCACACGCTGTTCATTATCGCTGGTTTGAGCTCCTCCCAAGTACGCAGTGTTGTCCACAGCATCCATGATGCTGTAGTTTCTCCAAAATTCCCTGATCACAGCTGTATCCTCACCATCCGTTGCTTCTAGGATGTGCTCAGAAGTCCTCAGATAGTGAGCTTTGAAGGCAGAGGCTACACCTTGACACATGGGCTGGATTTAGTCAGTTGTACCGTCATGAATGTATTATACTCTTATGTTATCAGAAACATCGCTCAAATTCACAGGGTGGCATGACGCATTGTCTAGTATGAGCAATGCTTTGTTGGTGAGATTATTTTAGGCACAGTGTTTTTCAACGGCAGGGCAAAAAAAGGAAGCGAACCATTCATGAAAGATGCTCCTGGTCCCCCAAGCTTTTCTGTTGGAGTGCCAAATCACGGGCAAATTGGGCTTCGAGTACCCCTTCAGAGCCCTGGGGGTTTCCAAGCGGTACACCAGTAAGGGCTTCAACTTAAAGTCCCCAGTGGCACTGCCACCAAGCAGCAGCATCAAGCGATCTTTGTATGACTTAAACCCTGGCTCAGCATTCTCTTCCTCGGAAGTGAACGTTTCTTCGGGCATTCTCTTCCAATCAAGTCCTGTCTCATCTACGTTAAAGACACCCGGGGGGCGTACTCACCTTCTTCGATGATGCTTTTCAGCATTTCTGTGTACATGTTCTTGTTGCTGGGAGCTGCGCTGTTCAACTTGAAGTGGGGCAAACAGTGGCGCTCCTTGAATCTCACAAGCCACCCTGACCCTTTACTCACATGAAGCCTCTCCGCTTGAGAGCTTTCGCCATGTTCACGCTGCAAGTCATCAAACTTAGCCTTCTGAACGATGGCGGCGTTCAAGGGCGCATTTCGCTGCCTCTGGTCTTCCAGCCACAAGCTCAGCAGCCGCTCCATACTCTCCATCACTGCACTTCGATGGCGAGTCAACCGTGAGGCTCTCAAAGGAGTAGCTATTTGAGAACTCGATTTTTTTCTTTACTATCTCAGATGGTCGCCACTGTGGAGACAGCAAGACCTAAGGCCTTTGCGATCTGACTGAGCTTCTCACCCGCTTCAAATCGTCGTAACACTTCCAATTTGAGGTCAAGGGTAATCACTTTCCGTTCCCTTTTGGCACTAGGGATGACAGTTGCATCTGTGGGCCTTTTCCCAGGCATTTCTGCCTCCAAAATGTCAGAAAATCACAGCGGTCTCAAGTGCAAGAAGGCTGTGGTTCCCCTACGTCCCCCTGCAGAACTCGGTAAACAGAAAACGAGGCTGCGAAGAGGCGCAGGCTGATGTCCCGGAGACGCGGACGGGTCGCCATGGGCAGGCCCAGCCTCACTGCCCAGCCCCGCTGCTTCACTGTCCACTCCGAGGAGGCCGCGCGGGTCTCCCGGTGCCGCTCCAGGTCCCCGTGCTGGGGCCGTGCGGCCGCAGGCACATACAAGCGGCCTGGGTTCTGGGGCTCCAGAGAAGGTTGCAACCAACCAAGCAGACAAACGGAACTCCGTGAGGGGGACACTGCGGCAGCAACGTCCCGGGGCGGTTTTCTACTGCAGCGGAGGGCGGGCCGGGCGGCTGTTCGGTTTCGGGAGCTGCTTTCCATGGAGGATCCCAGCAATAAGTGTGGATGCAGATGCCCGATTTAAGATAAGCCTAAAGGCGCTGGGTATCCCCTTGGCGCCCAGCTGTCTGGGCAGGACGAGCCTGCGCTCGCGATCAAAGCCTCGAACCGTCAGGCGACGGCGCGGACACCCAAGACGGGGCCCCAGCCGGCGCCGCGGCCCTGCTGCGCATGCGCGAGACCGCCTTGTGCGCGCGGTGCCGTAGGACCACTCTCCTTTGCGCATGCGCACGCTCGGGCGGCGCGGGGTCTGGGTCTGGGAATGTGGAACCGGCGGCTGGCGGCGGCCGGCAGTAGAGCGGTGGCCGGGCCACTGGCCTTGCTGTGGCGATGTGGTGGTCCAGGAGGCAGCAGGACGGCCAAGACCAGCGCGAGGGCCCTGGGCACGGCCCGGCAGGTGAGCGAGGAGGCGCTGTCCGCCGGTTCCGGGCGGCTGGTCTGCGCTGGACGCCGCGTGACGCCATTCGCCTGCGCCGGCCGCGGGGGAGCGCGGGAGCGCGGCGGCCCTGACCCGGTCCCCACAGTGAGGCCGGCAGCCCCTGGCCGGAGCTTCCCGCCGCCCGCCTCCTCCCGGGTGTCCCCTCCGTCTCCAAACTCCTCTTCTCCCCGCTGCCTCTTCCACCCACTTGTTGCGGAATTCCCGCTGTTTCCTGGATGCCCGCGCACCTCGGACATCGGAACCGGGACCTCCAGCCCCCTTGCTGGGCTCTGCAGAGAGCCGGGCGTTGAGCGGTTTGCCCTTGAGTCCCACCTGCTCGCGAACCAACTTTGCGGCCCCGCGTGCCGGCCCGTTTCCTCCTGGGCTCGGCGGCATTCGGCTGTATCCACCTCGCAGTTACTCAGTGGACCAGATACGATGAGAGGCGTGAAAGGGTTTTGCAAACTGTTCTTCGTTCCGCGACCAGTCACTGTGGTAACAGCTAATACTGAGAGCTAAGGGCTTTACGCGGATTGTCTGTCTTACACCCGCCCTGTAGGTAGATATGGCTGTAACCGTATTGTAATTTATTGTATTATTTTTTAAATTTGGGGGCGGGGCCGGAGCCTCGCTGTGTTGTCTAGGCTGGAATCGAACTCATGGGCACAAGCGGTTCTCCTGTCTCAGCCTCTGGAGTAGCTGGGGCTACAGGCTTGAGCCACGTGCCCTGCTCATAACCCTGTTTTTTATAGGGTTATGGTCTAAGGCCGGAATATTCTATATTTTAAGATTGCTTTATTTTTATGTTGCTACATCCCAGTGGGCAGCAGTAACGTTGAATTTTTTTTTTCTAATTCAGAGTTTTTGAATTTTGATCCCAGAAAACTGTCATGGTTTTCAGACAGTAGTCAAATAAGAAGAAGGGTTCCATGAGTATTTCTGTCCTGTCTTCAGGAATGAACTTTCCCTTCATCTCCATTCATTTGGGAAACTGTATGATGGTTTTGTTTCTAGCAATATGAGCGAAAGCAGTCTTTCACCTGTGGCCATGTGGCATCAGCATTGCAGAGGCCCTCCTGGTGGTTAACACATGTTAACAGTCAGCAATGTACAATATCAGTGTGTACAGCCTAATACAGCCCAGGAGAGTTTTGAATCATTGAACTGCTATAGACCCCTTTATGAAGGGAGGACGGACGTTGAGTGATCTTTGAGTTCCTTCCCAGACTGGGTCATTCATCTGTATCTCATTTATTAGAGATCGATCTGTTAATCATCTACCAGGGAATGTCTGGGTGAACACAACAGGCAAGGGCTCTGCCCCACTGGCTTGCTCTCCTTTGAGAGCTTAATGACTTGTGGACTGAGGGTGACATGCAGAAGTTGGAGAGGTGGCAGCAATTTGCTTTTTTTTTTTTTTTTTGAGATGAGGTTTTCCCCTTCTGTGTTGCGGCGCTGCTGGATGTGCGAGTGGCGCAATCTTCGGCTACCGGCAACCTCCCGACTCCAGGTTTCAAGCGATTCCTCCTTGCCTCGCAGCCTCCCAAGTAGCTGGGATTTTACAGCGTGCACGCCAACCCACCAGCTGTGATTTTTGTATTTTTTTTTTTTTGTTGAGACGGGTTTTTTTTTTTTTTTCTTTGGAGCGGTCGCGCGCGCGCGGAGGCTGGGCGGCCAGTCTCACTGCAAGCTCTCGCGCTTCTGGGTTTACACCGCGGGTTCTGCTGCCCTCGGGCCGTACCGAGGTAGCTGGGACTCCAGGCGCGCGGGCACTCCCGGCTAGTTTCTTTGTGCTTTTTTTTTTTGTTTTTTCTTTTGAGTAGAGACGGGCGTTTCACGTGGTAGCCCAGGATGGTCTCGATCTCTCCGACTTGTATCCACCGCGTCGTCGGTCCTCCAAAGTGCTGGGATTACAGCTGAGCCAGCCGGTGCCCGCCTTGTTTGCAGTATTTTTAGGTAAGAGACGCTCGCGGACACGTGGCTCGCGCCTGGTAGATCACGCACTTGCTGGAGGCCGAGTATGGGCGGATCACCTTAGGTGGGGAGTTGGAGACCAGCCTGACCAATGTGGAGAAACCCCGTCTCTACTAAAAGTATAAAATTAGCCGGGCGTGGTGGCACGCGCCTGTAATCCCAGCTTCTCGGGAGGCTGAGGCAGGAGAATTGCTTGAACCTGGGAGGCGGAGGTTGCGGTGAGCCAAAATTGCGCCGTTGCACTCCAGCCTGGGAGTGGGACTCCGTCTCAAAAGAAAACAAAACAGAAAAAATGCCCTAACAGCTCTCTTCATGGACGCTTATGTTGTGTAGGCTTCCATGCAGTCATCTTTCATTCATTGAGCTACCTACTCTATCCTTGTTCTCAGGGAGTTTACGTACTGTGCAAGGAGGAACCAGACAATAAATAAGCAAGTATTAGGCATGTAAGGAAAGGAAGCAGAATAAAGGAAATAGAAAATGAAGAAAGGGAATAGAGGAGGGATAAACCCTGTTACTTGTTGTGTCTCCTGCAGGAAGTGAGGAATTGAGATGAGCTTGCTCGGAGAATGGAATAGAAAGTGCCCTGCCCTAGGGTAGGTCCAGCCTTGTGTTTGTGTGATCAGCATGAGGAAGAGTTTAGTGAGAGACAGTGAGGCCAAGGAGGGGCAGGGCCTCATAGACCTGCTGAGGTTGCACCTGTGTGCTGTGTGTGCGCGTCTGTGGGATCCAGAATAAGGGTCAACTCATTTATGGTCTGACTGGAAAGAGGACAGCAGCACTTTGCCCTGTTTAAGGGAGTTTGTGTTTTGCCCACCTTCACATCTTGGCTTTGCATATACAAAAACTAATTTAGCAAGATTATCTATTGTGAGCTGTGAACTGACTTGCAGAAAACTCCAAGAAGGAATGGTAGACTCCTGTCTCAGTGTTTACATTTACTGTGAGAACTACATCTGACTTAACCAGATTGTGTCCTAACCAAATCACAAAAGGACTAAATTGTGAATTAAAGCAAAGGAATTGGATGTTTTATCAAGTTTTGGAAGCCTGAAGAGTCATACTTTGTACCTTCAGGGCTGTAGGCTACCTGGTATCTACCCAGCCACCAGGACCAGCGCCAGCTGTCTTTGGGGTGGTCCTGGAAAAGCCCTGGAAGATTGGGGCATCAGAACTCTCATTGCACACCTTCAGCGACCAGCTGTCTTCAGGCACTCACATTACCTCTCAATTTCTACTTTCTCAGATGGGCAGTGGGGATCAAGTGAGGTAAGAGGCACTTGGCACCCTACAATGTGCAGTACGACCGCCTTCTGTTCTTTGCGTAGGTTTCCTGTTGACCCACGCCTTGGGTTCCAAACCCCCATCGGGGAAACACACATTCATGGGACCCTTGGAGAGTCATTGCTCGCTCTGTGTCAGGTACCGTGCGCCGCTGGTGCTGGGATGGCTGCTGCAGATGGATTTCGTTCATGATGCAGGAGCCTTTGCTAGCCCCACAGCCTTTACTGTCAGCATTCTCTTTCTGAGCTGCTTTTTTTTTTTTCCCTGATTTTAATATCTTTTTCATAGCATGTCTTACGTTTTAGTCTACTGTGGTCTTTTACAGGGATATTTGAATAGTGTAGTTAATTAGAAAGTTACTAATGGGGGAATGAGTTTACTTTGGGGTAATAGCCTACAGAGTCCGCATCACCCTGAATGTTGACGCAGCTGAAATAACACCGGTGTTGTCAACTATGGGTCTTGTTTCATTATAACAAAATATTGGAGGCTCACGGCCATCATCCCAGCACTTTGGGCGGCTGAGGCAGGTAGATCACCTGAGGTCAGGAGTTCAAGACCAGCCTGACCAATATGGTGAAACCCTGTCTCTAATAAAAATACAAAAATTAGCCAGCGTGGTGGTGTACACCTGTAATCCCAGCTACTTGGGAGATAGGGAGAATCGCTTGAACCCAGGAGGCAGAGGTTGCAGTGAGCTGAGATCACGCCACCGTAGTCCAGCCTGGGTGACAGAGGAAGACTGTCTCAAAAATAAATAAATTAAATAAAATATTGGGGACAATATAAATTCACTGGTTATGTTGGGATTTTGTTGGATACAGTTAGTACTGGGTTATTGAGTACTTAGATTTTGTTTTTTTGTATATATATATTTGTGTGTGTGTGTTTTTGAGACAGAGCCTCACTGTCGCCAGGCTGGAGTGCAGTGGCACGATCTCGGCTTACTGCAACCTCCGCCTCCCAGGTTCAAGCAATTCTCCTACCTTAGCCTCCCAAGTAATTGGGAATACAGGCGCCCACCTCCATGCCTGGCTAATTTTTGTATTTTTAGTACAGACGGGGTTTCACCATGTTGGCCAGGCTGGTCTCAAACTCCTGACCTCACGTGATCCTCCTGCCTCAGCCTCCCAAAGTGCTGAGATTACAGACATGAGCCACGGCACCTGGTGGACGTTTTCCTCCTTGAAGACTGAAGAAAATACAGAGCTGCTGGAAAAATTGTTTTCTTGGCCTGACAAAAACTTTTACCTCTTGATGCCGTATTACCTGCCTGTTGTCCCTGCTGTGAATAGCCACTGCACTCCAATGAGATCCCATCTTAAAAAAAAAAAAAAAAAGCCCGCAGCGCTTATTAGTGTGCGTCAGCCATTGAATCCAGCCTTTCTTGGTGAGACGCGAGGACGTGGCGGATCACAAGGCAAGGAGAAATCAGAGACCCAATCCTGGCGTACACGGGTGAAACCCGTTTCTACCTAAAAAATACAAAAAACAGCCTGGGCGAGGGTGGCGGGGCTGCCTGTAGTCCCCACTCTCGGTAAGAGTGAGCAGGAGAATTGGCGTGACCGGGCGAGGGACGGAGGCTTTGCGAGTGACTGAGATCCGGCCACTGCACTTACCCCGCCTGGGCGCGAGAGCTAGACTCCGTCATCAAAAAAAAAAAAAAAAAAAAAAAAAAGGCTGGGCTCAAACGCCTGTATCAGCAACTATTGGGAGGTGAAAGTGGCAGATCACCCTGAGGGTGAGGATTTCGAGACCAGCCCTACCAACATGGGTTAACCTCATCTCTACTAAAAATACAAAATTAGTCCAAGGCAAGTGGTGGGCGCGCTGATCCCCAGCTACTCGGGAAGACTGAGGCAGGAAAGGCATGAAACTCGGAGGAGCAGAGTGTTGACAGTGAGCTGAGATCACCACCACTGCACATCTGGCCTGGGCAAGAGCAAAACTCGGCATAAAAAAAAAAAAGAAAAGAAAATAAATTAATCTCTTGGTTGACCGAAGATGAGTCATAGTGTATTTCAGTATTTAAATTTTACGCATTTGTATATTTTAGTCTTACAGTCTTATTTTTGAAGCTGCAATATTTTAAGTTACTAAATAAAGTTGCCTCTGTTTCTTAGCCATGTTTTTTGTTTTTTGGGGAGCTTTTTGCTTGTTGTTGGAGGCTATAGCTTTAAAAATTTACAGTGCATTTCTGCAGTGAACTTGTTCCTGTTTAGTTCTATTGAATCATATTTCTAATGGGATATTTAAGGCAATAAGCTCACACCTCGTCCTGCTTCCTCCTGTGGTTGTGGCCAGTGAGAATGTGCAGTGTTGTATTGAATAAGAAGCTGATAAGCTCATCTGGTGTCTTGTTTCAGTGCCTCCGAGGGATCCACTTTCAGAAACCGACTCTGCAGGCGAGATCAACGTTTTTTTCCTGGTGGCTGTGTTCAAAACCACCCAAAGGTACCTGTCTTTCATCTACCATCGTTAGCAGCATGAGGTTTACAGGAACTGAGTGTGACTTACAGTGAGTGACGAGGGGGTGAGGATCAAGAGAACTCAGGGCACACCCCACTCCACCCCGCCCCATTCTACCCCTTCCTGGCTTCCATATTGAGCCACACAACGTCCAACACCTTCTCCGTGTCTTTATGGTGTTGATATCTCAGTAAAGCTGGTGAGAGAAAAGCTTTTTCCAAAGGAAGATGCTAGATGAATCTTTTGGAAGGCATGGGAACAAACCTTGGTTTCTGCATATCTCACTCTGCGGACCAGCTAAGCCTCATGTTTGGAAAGCAGAACAAAAACAATGTGCAGACTGTCATTAGCTCAGAGCACACTTGCCCACTTGGAGTCCTTCTGTAGGCCATGGACCTGGGCTTTGTGCTTTGTGTCCAGGGACAGTGTTCACTGAAGTCCGTGGAGACCCTGTGTCCCCACAGAGTAGAAGGTGCTCCCTGCACTTGCCTCATTGTTAGGACCTGAGGGCACTTGCTGATTGTATGAAGTGAAAAGAGAGAGACAGGAGGAGGGAAAACTGTCCTGTCTCTCACTTTCTCTATAGCGACTTGACAGTATGGTTGCTTTTCTTTTTCTTTTTTTTTTTTTGAGACAGTCTCGCTCTGTTGCCCCAGGCTGGAGTACAGTGGCGTGATCTCGGCTCACTGCAAGCCCTGCCTCCCGGGTTCACGCCATTCTCCTGCCTCAGCCTCCTGAGTAGCTGGGACTACAGGCGACCACCACCGCGCGCAGCTAATTGTTTTGTAGTTTTAGTAGAGACGAAGTTTCACCGTATTAGCCAGGATGGTCTTGATCTCCTGACCTTGTGATCTGCCCGCCTTGGCCTCCCAAAGTGCTGGGATTACAGGTGTGAGCCACTGCGCCCGGCCAAGCAGTGTGTCTATGAAGACTGATGTTTGTCCTTAACATTTATGCAAATTTTTACTCCATCTTGTAATATGTTTGCCATTCCTGGGGTCACCTTGGCCTTCTCTGGCCTTTCATGTTGTTACTTTGCAGTAGTTGGAGTAGCACTGTATTTGTGAAGCGGACAGTGTCATAGCTTACTTGTCCTGGAACTTGTCCTGGAACATTACAGGAGGAGGCTGGTAGGTCCGTGGGTCACAAGTGTACATAGGAGGCCAGATTTTTTGGAGGAGAGGCAGACTCTGCTTAGAACAGGTGGTTTGTGTTCCCTGGTTCTCTTGAGAAGGGGGACCACCCATACCAGTCTGCCTTATTATCATTTTCTTCCTTTCTTTCTTTCCTCTAATTACAGCCGATTTTGGGACTGTTACCCCAAAAAAGTTTGCTATTAAAGCTCAACATTAAGCCAACAAGGTGAAATTTTAGGGATTTTAGATGTGTCTGAAGCCATTTCTCAGCAGTATCTCCCCAGCCTCATCCTTTTCCTAGTGTCTGTTTATTTCCAGAAGGCACTGGTGTTATTAAAATGGTGTGTTGGAAAGTGTTTTGCTGTTTTCTGAGTCCTCTTTCTCTGGAAAATTATATGTGATTGCTTTTTGAAGTCAGACTTTGTTTTCTCTCAGAGACTGGTGAGCCAAAGAATGCCGAGCCTGGGGGAGATGGAGGCAGGAGAGGAGGGAAGCGGGATGACGTTGCCTGGTGGAGGCGAATGCAGAAGGTTTGTATGCATCTTTGTCTATGCCTGCTGCTGTAACAGAATACATCAGACTGGATAATTTATAAACAGGATACATTTACTGCTCGTGGTTGTGGAGGCTGGAGGTACAAGGTCGCAACGTGGACAACATGGTGAAATCTCGTCTCTACAAAAAATACAAGAATAAGCCAGGCGTGGTGGCGTGTGCCTGTAGTCCCCACTACTCAGGAGGCTCAGGCGGGAGGATTGCATGAACGTGGGAGTTGAGGGTGTGGTGAGCCATGATCACACCACTGCACTCCAACCTGGGCGACGGGTTGTGAGGGCACCAATCCCATTCGTGAAGGCAGAGCTGTTGGGACCTAATCCCCTCCCAGGGGCCTCATCTCTTAATACCTTTGCCTTAGGGGTTGAGGTCCAACGTGGAAATTATGGGAGAACACATAAATTCAAACGCACATCAATCTTTCTGCTTGTTTAAAGGTGAGCTGTTGAATTAGTTCATAAGTTTCAAAGAAGTTAGTTTCTAAAAATGTCCTGAGGCCGGGTGCAGTGGGTCATGCCTGTAATCCCAGCACTTTGGGAGGTAGGAGGATTACTTGAGCCTAGGAGTTCGACACCAGCCTGGGCAACATAGTGAGACCTCGTCTCTACAAAAAAAAAAAAAAAAATGAGCCAGGCGTGCTGGCATGCACCTCTGGTCCCAAGTACTCAGGAGGCTGAGGCAGGAGGATTGCTTAAGCCCAGGAAGTTGAGGCTGCAGTAAACCATGATCGCGTGATTGCACTCCAGCCTGGGTGACCAAGTAAGATCCTGCCTCAAAAAAAAAAAAAAGAAGTACTGAGATTTCTGTTTGGATTTTATTATTATTACTATTTTTTGAGGTAAGGTCTCACTCGTCATCCAGGCTAGAGTGCAGGGATACGATCAGATACGATCACTGCTCACTGTAGCCTTGACCTCCCAGGCTCAGATGATTCTCCCACCTCAGCCTCTAGAGCAGCTGAGACCACAGGCTTGCACCACCACTCCTGGCTAATTTTTTTTTAAATTTTTTGTAGAGACGGAGTCTCCCAATGTCGCCCAGGCTGGTTTCGAACTCCTGGGCTCAAGCAATCCTCTCACCTCGGCCTCCTTGAGTGCTGGGACTACAGACGTGAGTCACCATGCCTGGCCTCTATCTGGATTTTAACAGACTCACATAAGAGATAACCCTAGCAACAGTGGCTCAAACACAGCGCTCTTTGTGGACTTTCTGCTTCTCCAGGGGCATCTGGTGAGCTGCGGCTTTCAGTGTGTTTCATACACCATGTGAAGATCTTTCCTCATGAGAGGAACTGAGGCTACATTGTGTAGGGTCCGGAGAGGGGGTTGGAAAACTTTTGTAATAACATCTGAAAAAGGAAATAGCCATTTTCATGAAGAAACTACCTTCATTTAACTGGAAAATGTGTTTTCTTTTTCCCACAGGGGGACTTCCCCTGGGATGACAAGGATTTCCGCAGTCTGGCCCTTTTGGGGGCAGGTGTTGCCGTGGGATTTTTCTACCTCTATTTTCGAGATCCTGGAAGAGAAATCACTTGGAAGCACTTTGTACAGAATTACCTGGCCAGAGGTCTGGTGAGAGGCATTTATAGTTCACCTACCTGGGAAGGAGGCCGCTGTAGTGGTGTACACGTGGTCTGCGATGCCCGTAAGAAGCTGTGAGCTCTGAGGCCTGGGTTGAGAACACATTGTGTGGTAGATGTGCTGGGCAGTCCCACCCTCTGGTCATAGATGAGACACAGTTTTACTTTTCCCAGGAGTGACCCCAACAGAAGGTTAGTAAGCTCATTTTCATGCTGGGTGGAAGCTTCCTTAACATCTTGGCTTTTTTTTTTTTTTTTTTTAGCTTCAGCTTCTGTGAGTAAGTTCTGATTGTCTGTGTCTGTTTATCATCAAGTGTCAATTTCTTATTTAATTCAGATCTTTTCTTTCCCCTAGTGTACCCCTGTCTACTCCTGCACCCCTGTGCCCTGCTGAGTGGCCCTGGACAGTAGTTGGGGGCTTTGTGTCTGTGCACAGGGGCATATGGCACCAACAAGCCTCCGCCTGTCCTTCACTGGGCCTGGGTCTGTCAGGTTGCTGAAGGCAGGCGAAGCACTGCTCAGGCTTTAGTATAAAGTTACATGAGAGCAAGTGCTGTGCTTCTCAGTTGCCCTCAGAAAGATGTTTGTTAAGTGATGCAGCGTTAAGATCTGAACTTCTTTCTATAGGAAAATCTTGTTTTCCCAGCAGGGTTTGTGGCTAAGGCCTTTTTTTTTTTCTTTTTGAGACAGGGTCTTGCTCTGTCACCCAGGCTGGAGTGCAGTGGTGTGAAGTCTCGACCTTCTGGTTCCAAGCCAGCCTCCCACGTCAGCCTTCTGAGTGTCTGGGACTATAAAAAACATAATTTTTTTTTGGAGATGGAGTCTTGTTGTGTCGCCCTGGCTGGAGTACAGTGGCGTGATCTCTATTCACTGCAACCTCCACCTCCCTGGTTCAAGTGATTCTCCTGCCTCAGCCTCATGAGTAGCTGGGATTACAGGTGCACGTCACCACGCCTCCACGGGAGGTGGAGGTTGATAATTTTTTGTTTTTTAGTAGAGACAGGGTTTCACTGTGGTGCCCAGGCTGGTCTCGAACTCCTGAGCTCAGGCAGTCCTCCCGCCTTGGCCTCCCAAAGTGCCAGGATTACAGGCGTGAGCTACCGTGCCCGGCCCGCAATTTCTTTTTTTAGAGACAGTGTCTCCGTATGTTGCCCAGGCTGGTCTCAGACTCCTGGGCTCTAGTGATGCTCCCACCTCGGCCTCCTGAAGTGCTGCAATTATAGTTGTGAACCACCACCCAAGGCCTTTTTGTCTGGCCACAGGGCACACAGCTGTCTTCAGAGAGGTCCTTGACGACTCCTTACGCGAGGAGGGGAGAGCTGCTGTAGCCCCTCTCTGCCATGGGTCTTCACCCACAGCTGCTGCCATGAGGAGGGGTGAGACAGATAATTTGGCCCACGATGCCTGCTGGTGTGTGGGTTCTGGACAGATCCCAGAGCTTCTGCGAGGTCCTTTTCAGGTGTCTGACACGCTGACCGTGCCGCGGTTGTGGGGTTAGGCTCGAGACACACCTGTCATAAACACGTTGATGTTGGTCACATGACCCTGAGTAGTCAAGAAAAGTTGTGTCGTTGTGGTTTCCGTTTCTGTGGAGGGGGAAGAGCAACGCTGTTGTCATCATACCTGACGAAATGGCTGCCCTCTCATGTGTTTTTGCTGCACACCGGCTCTCAGGCTGTGTTCGCCGCTGGGTGGCTGCATGGAGGCCTTTGGGGTTGCGTTTTCATTCTTGGCACCATTTTCTTGTGCTATCTGCAGCTGTGTGGGCGAAAGGTTTCTGGATGAGTTCTGGAGACTTTGCTGTATTGTCAGTCTGAGACTTCTATACCTTTTAGATTTTTTTTTTTTTTTTTTTTCAGATGGAGCCTCACTCTGTTGCCCAGGCTGGAGTGCAGTGTGCAATATTGGCTCACTGCCACTGCCGCCTCCGAGGTTCAAGCAGTTCTCCCTGCCTCAGCCTCTTGAGTAGCTGGGATTACAGGCGCACACTACCACATCCAACTAATTGTATTTTTGGTAGAGACAGGGTTTCACCATGTTGGCCAGGCTGGTCTCGAACCCCTGGCCTCAAATGATCCACCCTCCTCAGCCGCCCAAAGTGCTGGGATTATAGGTCTGAGCCACCGCGCCCAGCCTTCCTTTTAGGTTTCAAGTCGCTCTGGAATCTCTGGTGCTCAGATCTCAGATGTACCAGGTCTGAGCCACCGCGCCCGGCCTTCCTTTTAGATTTTTAGGTCACTCTGGAATCTTTGGTGCTCAGACGTACCAGGTCTGAGCCACCATGCTTGGCCTTCCTTTTAGGTTTTAAGTTACTCCGGAATCTTTGGTGCTCTGGAATCTTTGGTGCTCAGATCTCAGATGTACCAAATTGTAAATCCTCTGAATTACATGCACAGGCCAGGCTAGAAATGTCCAAATCAGTGGGAAAACAAAACTCGGATCTGCACAGCAGAGTGGATGCAGCTTCTCAGTCACCGTCAGAGTCTCGGTCTGCACTGTGGGACTAGTCTGAGGATAAGCCTGAGGTTTAGTATCGAATATGATACTCACTGCTTTAGCCGTGGGCTGGTCTGAGGGTGAGGCCCTGTTTACTGTTGAATATCATACTCATTGCTTTAGCCGTGCTGATTATTTTTCTCTTTTTCCCAGGTGGACCGGCTGGAAGTCGCGAACAAACAGTTTGTGCGTGTTATTCTTGCCCCTGGGACCTCTTCTGAGGTGAGGGGTGAGTTTGAGGCTGAGTACTCCAGACATAAGTTTTTTTCAGTAAAATACTCCCTTAGTATCCATCAACTACTCTTTAATGTGATTTTTTTTCTCATTGGCATGTATCAATAACAAAGCTTTCCAAGTAGGACAGGAGCCCTTATAAGACTAACTAGGATTCAGATTTGCCATGCAGTGTCTGAGAACAACTTATCGAGGATTGTGGGGAGAGAAGAGACAAAAATAAAAGAGTAAAAAGCAAAAAGGAACGGCTGGGCATGGTGGCTCATGCCTGTAATCCCAGCACTTTGGCAGACAGAGGTGGGCGGATCACTTGAGGCCAGGAGTTCAAGACTTGCCTGGCCAACATGGTGAAAGCCCATCTTTACTAAAAGTACAATAATTAGCCAGGCATGGTGGCCTGTGCCTGTAATCCCAGTTACTCAGGAGGTTGAGGCATGAGAATTGCTTGAACCTGGGAGGTGCACGTTAGAGTAAGCCAAGATGATCCCACTGCACTTCAGCCCGGGTGACAGAGGGAGACTGTCTCAAAAAGAAAAAGAGACAAAGGCACACCCCAGCAGTCATTGGACATTTTACACTTTTATCTAGAACTTAAAGACTGTAATTTCATGGGGCCAAAACCAGAGTCTTCTGCTGTTAGTATAGTTTCCCTTGGAGCTAGCCTCGGCACAGGCCTCGTCCATGTTGTGGAGATTAAGGCTAGGAGAAGAGGCAGTGGGAGGTGCATGTGTGAGGGTGGGGCTCAGTGTGGGACACAGTGATGCACCCTAAGCTTGCTCTTGCTCTCTGCAGAAGTTCGTGTGGTTTAACATTGGCAGTGTTGACACCTTTGAGCGGAACCTGGAGTCTGCTCAGTGGGAGCTGGGGATTGAGCCCCCCAACCAGGCAGCAGTGGTCTACACCAATGAGAGTGACGGGTGAGGAGGATGGTGAAGGGCCTCTGTTTGAACCCAAAACAAAAACGCCATGTTTAACCTGTTTTGGAATATATTTCTCAAACTTATAAGCATGTATAATAAGCAATGCCTGTAGTAAAAAATATATGTATATACTTTTATATATATATGGGTGTGTGTGTGTATATATGTGTGTGTATATATATGTTTTTTACTCTGTTTTTCATGAGAAGAGAATTGAAGCAGGGAAATAATTTGGCTACGCAGCCTTAAAAAAGAAAACCAGTCGTTTGGGTGTCTTTGTTGTAGCAGAAATTCCCTGAAGTCCTGTAGGAAGCCTTCCACCATTGACTGTGCAGCAGGATCACTACGGGAGCCCTGTCAAAATGCTCTTCTGTCATTTCTACCTGCCACTCCTGCAGAACTGTTGAATTAATGTCCAGAGGTGGGGCTTGTGCACCTGTGACTTCCCCAGGCTCCCTCTTGGGCAGCCCTGACCCATCCTCCCAGGTGCTGGGGGTCCCTGCACACAACTCTGCGGCTCCTAGGTAGTACCTGACACTTGGTCGTTCTTTTTTTTTTTTCTTTTTGAGACAGAGTCTCGCTCTGTCGCCCAGGCTTGGAGTACAGTGGTGCAATCTTGGCTCACTGCAAGCTCTGCCTCCTGGGTTCACGCCATTCTTCTGCTTCAGCCTCCCGAGTAGCTGGGACTATAGGCACCCACCACCATGCCTGGCTACTTTTTTGTATTTTTAGTAGAGATGGGGTTTCACCGTGTTAGCCAGGATGCTCTCGATCTCCTGACTTTGTGATCTGCCCGCCTGGGCCTCCCAAAGTGTTGGGATTACAGGTGTGAGCCACCGCACCTGCCTGACACTTGGTCATTCTAAGCGTCCCATGGTTCTCATGTTATCTTGGATTTCCACTGCATCGTATGTTCTTAAAGTAATTATGGACATGAGGGCAAAGACCAGATGAAATACTCTGTGCATCCCAGGACTCAGCACAGAAGTCAGTGTTGCTGAGCGTGGATCCTGTTTTCATGTTTACATCCTGGGGATGTCATTGCTCTGTCTTCTCTGGCCCTTCTGCCCAGAATTGAAAACTGAACCAAGAGAGAGTACAAATCCAGTACCAGCTTTCGCCAGGAGGGTGTAAAAATTGGAATTGTAGTGGTTTTGGTGGTTTCTTTGAGACATATGTTTAAGCACAGAGTAGGGGCCGCAGTGGGGTGAGAGAAGGTGAGGCAGGTAGAAATCTGGAGATTAACTCTCAGATTCTAGTGGCAGGGCTCAGGCCTGTGGTCTCCTGCTGGAGCTCCTGGATGTCATCTAGGTGCTGTTTATTGCTGACTTGGGTTCTGTCTTTGCTGGTTGAGTTGCCGGGAATGCCTGGTTGTATGTGGGGCTGAAAGGGACTGCAGAGCCACTGGAGGAGGGATGGCCTCTGAAGAGCAAGAGCAAAGATAAAAAATAAAGCAGGAAGACATTTGGTGTCTTCCTCTGATGAAACACGCCCGGTTGGCCCTAGATGCCAGGAGGCCTTGCTGGGTCTGCTGGAGGCACCTCCTGGCTCCTGGGGGAGATGTGGTGTAAGCTCCAACAGGGCTGCTTGGCCGGGTGGAGGAGGTGGTGGGTGGTGGAATTGGTCACCCTCCCTGCCCCACCAAGGCAGCCACAGGTTACATCAGGGAGATAGAAATGCCTGTGACTAGAGCCTTCAGAACTGGAGAGGCCTAGTGCTGGACAGACTTTGACACATTTTTTAAAAAAGAGGCTGGGCGTGGTGGCTCATTCCTGTAATCCTAGCATTTTGGGAGACCGAGGCAGGTGGATCATGAGGTCAGGAGATCTGAGACCATGCTGGCTAACAGGGTGAAACCCCGTCTCTACTAAAAATACAAAAAATTAGCCAGGCGTGGTGGCGGGTGCCTATAGTCTCAGCTACTTGGGAGGCTGAGGCAGGAGAATGGTGTGAACCCGGGAGGCAGAGCTTGCAGTGAGCCGAGATCGCACCACTGCACTCCAGCCTGGGTGACAGAGGGAGACTCCATTTCAAAAAAAAAAAAAAAAAAAAAAGGACGAGGGCCGGGCGTGATGCTCACATAGGTAATCTCAGCGCTTTGGGAGGCTGAGGAGGGGGGATCACCTGAGACTAGCAGTTCGAGACCAGCTGGACAACGCAGTGAGACGAGACTGCGTGTCTATAAAAAGTTAAACAAATATCTGGTGTGGTGGCACGCATGCCTGTGGTTCTAGCTACTCAGGAGGTTTAGGCAGGAGAATCTCTTGAGCCTGGGAGTTCAAAGTGACTGTGATCGTGCCACTGCCCACCAGCCTGGGTGACAGTGAGACCCTATCTCAAAAAAAGGAAAAAAACCTGCTCCCTTTTGTGTAGCAAAACAAAGTCCTAGAGCGGTGTCTTCTAAGAGGGTTTTGCTTTGTCATCCAGGCTGGAGTGTAGTTGTGCAATCATGGCTCATTGCAGCCTTGAACTCCCAGGCACAGGCAGTCCTCTCACTTCAGCCTCCTGAGTAGCTGGAACTACAGGCACACGCCACCACGCCCAGCTAATTTTTGTATTTTTTGTAGAGATGGTTTCACTAGGTTGGTTAGGCTGGTCTCGAACTCCTTACCTCAGGTGATCCACCTGCTTCGGCCTCCCAAAGTGCTGGGATTACAGGTGTGAGCCACCATGTCCGGCCATTTTTATATTTTTTGTAGGGACACAGTCTGGCCATGTTGCCCAGGCTGGTCTTGAACTGCTAGGCTCAAGAGATCCTCCCACGGTGGCCTCCCAAAGTGCTGGGATTACAGGCGTGACCCACCGTGCCTGGCACAAAGGTGCTATTTCTGACCTCCAGAGCGTGACAAGTAGTTCTCTTGGATTTTCCAGCTCTTTATTGCGAAGACTGGTGCCCACCCTTCTCCTGGTTGGCATTCTCCTCTATGCTGCCAGGAGGGGTCCTATGGGAGCCAGGCGCAGTAGACGAGGAGGGGGCCTCTTCAGTGTTGGTGAGACAACAGCCAAGATCTTAAAGAGCAACAATGATGTGCGATTTGCGGATGTAGCTGGGTGCGAAGAAGCCAAATTGGAAATTATGGAATTTGTGAATTTCCTGAAGAATCCCAAGCAGTATCAGGACTTGGGAGCAAAAATTCCAAAGGTACTGATTTTAGAAAATGTAGTAATCCTCTGAGCTCCAAGTCAAAGCCAGAGATGGCTGTGGGTCAGAGTAGGTTCTTACTCCTGTTTTATTAGTTTGTTTAATATTTATTACATAGAACAACAGGTACAACTTGTATGAACAGGCTTGGGATCAGATGTAGCTGCCTCTTTTAAGCCCATGACCCAGACAGCGGCTAGGTCTGTGCAGCCGGACAGCGGCTAGGTCTGTGCAGCCGGACAGCGGCTAGGTGTGTGCAGCCGGACCACGGCTAGGTGTGTGCAGCCGGACCGCGGCTAGGTGTGTGCAGCCGGACAGCGGCTAGGTGTGTGCAGCCGGACAGCGGCTAGGTCTGTGCAGCCGGACAGCGGCTAGGTGTGTGCAGCCGGACAGCGGCTAGGTGTGTGCAGCCGGACCGCGGCTAGGTGTGTGCAGCCGGACAGCGGCTAGGTGTGTGCAGCCGGACCGTGGCTAGGTCTGTGCAGCCGGACCACGGCTAGGTGTGTGCAGCCGGACCATGGCTAGGTCTGTGCAGCCGGACCACGGCTAGGTGTGTGCAGCAGGACCGCAGCTAGGTCTGTGCAGCCAGCCATTCAGCGCATTGTGGGTGGTGTGGGTCAGGGTGCCAGATCTGGCTGCTGGGCACACAGAGCAAGTTTATCTCTTGGTGCCATTTTGGGGTCATGACTCTTTGAGGGCCTGACAGAAGCCATGGATTTTTTTTCCCAGAAATATTTGCATTCACAGAAACTCGATTCACACACCCTTTAAATCACCTCTGGGCTTTGGACCAAGCTGAGGACACCCAGATCCTTGCAGTGCCATTGCACCCCCACCCCCAGCACCTCGCGATGGGGTGGACATTCACTGGACAGTTTGCTCCAAACAACAAATAATGATTATGCCAAGCACTGTGAACCTGGGGCAAAGCCAGGAGGTGACAGACCTGTTTTCCCCTTTGGTGAGCGTGAGGCCGGGAAGCAGGTGTGTGTGACGGACGTGAAGAGCCGGGGCCTTCTCCTTCTGTTGGAGCTCCACCTCTGCTCATAGTCAGGTGTTGCAGTGGGTGGTTCTCTTTGCCTTTCAGAATGTTTTTTTTTTGGAGACAGAGTCTTACTCTGTCGCCCAGGCTGGAGTGCAGTGGCGCGATCTTGACTCACTGCAACCTCCACCTCCCGGGTTCACGCCATTCTCCTGCGTCAGCCTCCCAAGTAGCTGGGACTACAGTCACGTATCACCATGCCCAGCTAATTTTTGTAATTTTAGTGGAGACGGGATTTCACCATGTTGGCCAGGCTGGTCTCAAACTGCTGACTTCAGGTGATCCGCCTGCCTTAGCCTCCCAAAGTGCTGGGATTACAGGTGTGAGCTACTGCATCTGTTTTTGTTTTTAATTTATGTCTATTGCTGCTGAAAAAATTATAGTTTTTTTCATATGTATTTGTTGGGGAAAATCTGTATGAGAGAGGGAGTGGGTGAGGCAGTCAGGTACCAAGAAAGGCCCCTCACCTGGTGTGTTGGTCCCCGTTTCCCAGCAGGCAGGGGCTCCTGCGAGAGGGGGCTCCTGCGAGAGGGGGCTCTGTCAGCCTCTGTGTTACATCACAGGCCTGGTGCTGTGCTGTGGATGTCAGGAAAGAGTTCGTGGGGTCAGAGCCCATCTGGCTTTCCCGTTATTGGGTGTGAGGTACAGTGATTTCCCAAAATTACCTCTGCCTGTGGCATCCCCTGTGAGAATCCATCATGAAGAGCTGACTGTGTGTGCGGCCACGGTGGTGCCTTTCCTGGAGCACATGGGTAGGACACAGTGTGCTGTGGGCAAGTCTAGCCCCCTCCTGCCCTCCAGCTCCTTAGCCATCCCTGATGGGATTCTTCTTAGTCAGTCTCAGAAGTCACCAGTGTAAGCAGCTTTCTGTCCTATGTACCGTCTGCTCCCCTGTTAAGAGCCCGATGTCACCATTCTGTTTCAGGGAGCAATGCTCACTGGTCCTCCTGGCACCGGCAAGACCCTTCTTGCCAAGGCAACTGCAGGGGAGGCCAGTGTGCCCTTCATCACTGTGAACGGGTCCGAGTTCCTGGAAATGTTTGTTGGCGTTGGGCCAGCAAGGGTAAGTGGACGGGAACCTGCTGCAGGTGGCCTCAGCACCGTGCCTTGACCAGGACTGGTCAACTTGAATAGCTTGGTGTGGGGCCCGGGCCCTGGCCCTGGGCATGGGCACGTGTGGTAGGTGCTGGTGCACCGGGGCGAAATGGGTCAGAGGTTTCTGAGGAGAGGGTGGAGGATAGTTGGCATTCCCGTCTTCCTACCAGTAGCAAAACAGGTTCTCTGTGGGTTTCTGTTTCAGGTTCGTGACATGTTTGCAATGGCCCGAAAAAACGCTCCATGTATCTTATTCATTGATGAGATTGATGCGATTGGCAGGAAGCGAGGCCAAGGGCACTTTGGAGGCCAGAGTGAGCAGGAGAACACCCTGAACCAGATGCTCGTGGAGATGGACGGTGTGTGTAGGCTGCGGCCGGCCTGTGGTGTGCAGCTGTTCCCCTGCAGCTGCTTAGGGACAGTCTGCACAGCCTTTTTCTGTACAGTCACCCCCAGAAGAGAATCCCTGATTATTCTGTTTTTAAGGAAGGCTGCTCTCAGGCAAACGTGATGGAGAAAGCTGTGCCACAAGCCTCCTCCAGTGCCCGTGATAGGATGGGGGCAGTTCATTCCCTTGCCACCAGATGGAGAGGGGTTCTCTGGATCTGGAGAGATCCAGATCCAGATCTGTGGTGTGGAGACACCTGCTTCTCTGGGGAGGGGGACCAGGTAGACGAGCATGGCTGCTCCTGACGGTGCCCACAGGGTAGTGTGTCCACAACCCATGCTCCTTCCGCTCTGAGCCTTGTCTTGGTGCCCCTGCATCACCCAGAATCTCACAGACCCCCCAGGCCCGTCTCTTCTCAGAGTGAGTCTAGCTAAGATGTGACTGACCGTCGCCTGTCAGTCCTGCTAAAGCCTTGTTGGGCACGTCCAGGTTCTGTGCCATTTTTCAGATTTGGAAAAACTTTCACTTAGACCTTTGGCAGATTTGATTTTCACTTTGGCTTCAGGGCCGTGTTGGGGTCCCTAAGACCACCCCAGATGTGGTGACTTGCTAGGAGAAGTCACAGGACTCGGCCTATAGTAGCACTCAGGGCTGTGATTTACTACCGTTAAAGGAGGACACAGCAAAGTCAGCCAGGGGAGAAGCTGCATTGGGTCGCAAGGAGACCGGGTGCAGTGTTGAACCCTCCCCCAGTGGAGCCACATGGGACGCGCTCACTTCCCCCAGCATCAGGCTGTGACCACGCCTGCTGGATGTTGACCAGGAAGCTCAGGAGAGACTCGGTTCCTGGGGTTTTTGCTGGGGGCGCACAAAGCGTTTGGGCCCAGGGAGCTGTTTATCTCCGGGAATGGTGGGAACGCCCCCAGACTCACAGCGCCAGACACTGACCTTGCGAGCAGGCCTTTCTTTTTTTTTTTTTTTTTTTTTTAAAATGAGAACGGAGGTTCCTGCTCTGTGCCCCAGGCTGGAGTGCAGTGGCGCGATCTCGCTCACTGCAAAGCTCCGCCCCGCCGGTTCCGCCATCTCTCTGGCCTCAGCCT